GCCAAAGCTCTCTGTTCATCCATGCTGGTCTCTTGATCCTGGTTGGGTGGTCTAGAACAGACTCCCACCATGACATCTGCCATGTTGGCCTTCCCCCTGATTCTTACCCATAAACACTCAGCTCTTTTGTCACCATCATTCAGGTCAAGACAGTCAAATCTGGCTGGTAGTGCTCACTAGTGTCAATGTTCCCCAGATCTTTACATTAGGAGATCCTAGTTTTTGGCTTGAAGAAAGTGGTTTTTCTAAAATGGGATGTTGCAATAAATTTATAGAACTAAACAACTTTTTAAATCTTTGATTGAATCTGTTCATGGGAAAAGTTTTTCCACGTCAAGCTAATTGGGTTAAAATTGCCATCCTCACACCCCACAAAAGATTTTTCACAGTTTTTATACTCTTTTCCCCACATTAGAAGTTTATTAAAAGCCATTTGCTTTCAACATCAAACTGTCATGCAAAATACAACCTTGTTGTCTCTCTTGTAATGTGCCTAGGATGTGAAAAAGAAGCGGGCTCCTCCATGTGGATCTATGTTTTACTGGGAAATCTTTTGCGTGGAATAGGTGAAACTCCTATCCAGCCTCTGGGAATTACATACATTGATGATTATGCCATTGAAGAGAATGCTGCCTTATACATTGGTAAAATAAATTTTTTTTTTTTTTCTTAATGGATTTTTTCCTCAGAGGAAACTGAGTCATTCAGAATAATGGAATGCGCGTTACTGAATTAACTTGCCTTGATTATTCTCTTTGCATAAATTCAAATATTAAATTTTATTTAACGGTCGCGTACACTCAGGGACCAAGTTCCCCTTTAACCAGCACAGTTCCATTATCTTAATTTGAGGAAAGAATTTGACCTTAGGTTCCTGCTGTTACCCTAATCTTCCTAATTCTTCTGGATGTGGATTGCTGAGCCTCTGTGCACATTCAGTTCTCTGGAAAGTGATAAAAAACATGTACTCTTTTTAAGTACTTAAAATAAAATTTCAGCAGGCACTCCAAACATTCCATCCAGATTCAGGCAGAATTATAAGCAATAGTGCTGTGGCATTAGTTTTCTTCTTGTGTTCATTGTTTGAAGAGATTTCCACATTTATCCAAAATATTGCCAAAATATTCTTCCCCATCAGCATGTTGTCTTGACAAGTTTCCAGCTCAGCAAAAGACAAAACCTCAGGTTCTCCTTGTACAAGATTCAATCTTCCCAGATTTCCGGAAAAATTCTGAAAATTCAAAATATTCAGAAAATTTGGCTGAGCATGTATTGAAGCATATTAATACTGGGTGCCAAAGCAAAGTGACTTTTCAGCCCATTCAGGACCCACCACAATTTCCAGTGATCAGTTAACTTAAATAATTGACATTTGTTTTCCAGTTACTTTAATCTATGCAGCTAAAGACTTTCTGACAATTACAGATTGATGCTGCTGTTGAGTTTATGCCATTGAGTAACCCAACTTTTTTTTCCTTTGGACTGAATTTCATTCTTTAATGGCATGATAACAAAAAAAAAAGTTGGAGCGTCAGTGTAGTGGGGAAAAATTTATTATTGGCTTTTTGCTTCTTGAAAATGTTCTAACTTGTCTAACTAATGTGCCACAGAGCAAAGTATTTTACTCAGTATTTTAAGACTGCATCACTTGTTACCCATCACAGGTCACAACTTTGCTGCTAGGAGCAGCAAGGCCCAGTGCTCTGTCTATCGCAGAGGCATAACACTCCCCTCTTTCCAATTGCAGGCTGTGTCCAGACAGTGGCAATTATAGGGCCAATATTTGGCTTTCTTCTGGGATCCCTCTGTGCTAAACTTTATGTTGACATTGGCTTTGTAGATCTGGGTAAGTCAAAAAAATTATATTTTAAAAATTCAGTCAGGCTCCAACAAGTCTATTTTAGGCCAAGAACTATCTAGTTATCTTCTAGGCATGAGGGACTAGCAGGGTTAGAGCAGGCACTTTATGTAAAATAAAAGGATGACAGCAGTGCAATGACCCATGCAGAAAAAGCTAGCAAGAGGGGTGGTATGGAGGCCTGACACTTCCTCAGCCCCAGAAGATCTACAGCTGATGCCCCCCAGGAGATGCCCTGTTGAGGAGGCACTAGGGGCACAGCTGTCACCACAAGGCAGCCCGACTGAGGCTCAGGATCCTGATGAGAGCTGTGTGTGTGCATTTCGTAGTACGCTGTCATTGCCCAGAACACTCCTGAAGTGGGTACCAGCACTCCTGATTGCCTTCCTCCTGAGAAAACACCCTCCACTCCACTTTTCCCTGGCACTTCTGTGCAGAAGAGCATGACTGAGAGCAAGTGCATGGCCACCTGGACTACCCCATGTCCTGGGCCTTGCAGCCTCTCTGCAGATGTGTGAGTGGCACAGCTGGGGACTCTGTGCTGTCAGGAGAAGCCTGCTGCTGTGTAGCAGGTATCAACAAGTCCTTATTGTGCCCCCAGGGACTGGTCCTGTTAACAGTGATAGAAACCCACAGAACAGAAGAACCTAGCAAGGTGGGGGGTAAACTCTGGAGAAAGTCCCTGCAAAATCACCTTCCTTGTTATCAGCAAATATTCTCAAAAAGTGTTTACTTGTTTCTCCTTTTGTTGACTTTCTCCAGAGAGTGTAACAATAACTCACAAGGACGTGCAGTGGGTGGGAGCCTGGTGGCTGGGCTACCTGATCGCAGGGGTGATTAGTGTTCTAGCTGGCATCCCCTTCTGGTTCCTGCCCAAGCACCTCCCGAAACCACAGACCAGAAAGGACTCCAGCACCTCTTCCGAGCAGTCAAAGTTCATCACTGAGGATGAGAAAGACCAACACAAATCTTATCAGCAAAAAGTGAAGATTGCTGAGCTGGCAAAAGGCAAGTCACTAGAGTTTCTTTCCTGACCATTGAGTTCCTCTCTCACTAGCTTTCAGACTTCAAAACTTTATACTCTCTGAGGCCATATTTTAATGGCCCCAGAATTATTATTTTTCCCTCAGGTGTCACTCTGCAGTCGTTCACTGGACCTCCTCTCGCATGCAGAATTTCTCCAGCTGGAATCTGTAGGATTATGCTACATGAAACTGCAAAAAAAAATTCATTCACAGATTGTGACTGTTGCAGGATTGGGGGTCAAAAAATCTCAGTGTTTGCTAAAACTTTTTCTTTAAGGTCATTCATTAGAAAAACACACACAATAACTGATGAGAATAAGGATGGGCATGGTGTTTTAGGCAGTTATCTGGATCTAGACACTAGGTGCTTTCCATAGCTGCATTTCCTTGGCCTTACTTTGCCAAAAATGTTTTCCCTTAGTACCTGAATCTGTCACTCAGTATGTCTGTGCTTGCTCCCAACTCTGCTGAACAATCCCTACTCCCAAATTAAGCTAAAAGATGCTGTGGCTGTTGCCACACAGAGACAAAATCAGTCCTGGTTTATTATTAGAAGAAGATATATTAAACAAGAGATCTCTTCTGGGAGATTGACACTTAGTATTTTGCTCCACTATTCTCCCATCCAGAAATAAGGGAGCAATTAGGAACATCGGGGAACTACATTAATTTCTTCTGAAATGTTTTCCTCTCCTTTGGGAGGTGCAAACATGTTGTAAAGCATTATTCACAGCAGTTATTATCTCTCTGTCCTGATTGTCATTTCTGCTGTTTTGTCTTGCAGACTTCTTGCCATCACTGAAGAACCTCTTTGGGAACCCAGTTTACAGTCTCTATTTGTGTGCAAGTATCATTCAGTTCAATTCTTTAATTGGCATGGTCACATATAAGCCAAAGTATATTGAACAACAGTATGGACAAACATCTGCAAAAACGAATTTTGTTATAGGTAATGCTATATCAGCTTCTTGATGTCTTAAAAAAAAATCCATTTTAGGAATGGCTTATACATAAATATAGGGTAAATTGTATTTTTTTTAGGGTATGTTTATTTCTTCTCCTTCCTTGTCTGGCTTTAAGTAGTAGGTAATAGAAGGTATGTTATTTCACTTCTGCTTTAGCACCACTTAGCTCTGACTTTATCTATACAAGAATCCCAGCAGATATTACATTATTTGATACATTATTTCCCATTTTACTTGAAATTTGAAAAATAATGTATGTACAACAGAAGAAAATATTTTAAAATACAATTAATTTAAAAATATTTTACATAAATTTGTGATCAGACAGATCTGTTCCCTTGCTGGCTTCCCATTTATTTCAACAAAATGAAGATCAGCTCAGTGAGTGCTAAAGGACTGAGCATAAAGTAGCTGGGATATTGTCAGTGATTTCTTACTTTCTGAAGAAGCTGGTGTTAAATAAAAGGAAGCTGAGGTTATATCAGTGGTCACACAATAAATGTGTTAAAAAATAGATGTGTTAATTATCAGTGTGATGCTGGTGAAGGAAAAATAGGCATTTCTGCCCTGACTTTACCTAAGAGCCTTTCTCTGTTGTGAAGTTAGTCTCCAAAGCCCTCCCATATAGCACAAGAGAGATGCTGCTTCCATCTTCAGGTACCCAGGTGGCCAGTTTTGGAGATGTCTTCAGGATGGTACACTGGACTGTGCAGCTATTGAACCTGCGTGCAGGCTTGTGTTCAGTTCCTGAGGTCCAGGGGTTCAACAGCATTACACAGCAAAGAGGTTTACATCTTTCCAGCACAGAGGGAACTGCCTTGTTTCAGAGCAGCATTAGTTGCACAGCAACAGAGGTGTATATATGCAGAAAAGCTGCTATGTTATCCATTGTGCTATGTTAATTCCTTAAAGATAGAATTTGGAATTTCCTGGCACGAAACTTCTCAAAGCAAGGAGAAATCTTCAAGCATGGTCGATGGCCAGAGAAAGTCCAGAAAACAATCCCTACATTCAGTACAGTACTTCTCATTGTATTTAAAGATTTTCTGGAGCTAAGCTTTCAGGTATGTGCAAACTGAGTGAGGATTAAGATCCATCTGATTTCATGGAGCATGGGGAGTATATCCACGGAGAATGTGTGATGGCTTGGCTAGGGAAGGATTCTGGCTGAGTGACCATCCCTGCAACAGAGATTTTTTTCTTCCTCCTCATGCAAAGGCATGAACAAAAGGGGTGCATAAGGATGGGCAGAGCACAGGAACTCTCTGGTGCTTCACACAGCTCCCAGTTCCCATCCTACTCCCCTCTTAGAAGCGAAAGACAACAGGAAAACCTGTTACATAGTGACTCCTAGTTTACATATGCTGCATTTTGGATGCTGCTTCTAAACACCTTGAAGTAAAATTTTCATGTATGTGCAGACTGAAAAATGCTGCCCCAGTGAGGCTTCCTGAACTTCTTCAGTAGCCGAACTGGGCTCCTGGACTCCGCCAAGGTACCTGACTCCTGGGTTTTGACAGATAGAATAAGGGTCTTTTCCACTAGCAAACACACCTGCCAGCATCTCTTCTAAACATTGACTTTTTCCATGTGTACAGGTGAATCAAGCACTGACTCGAGCCAAAAAGTTGGTGCATTTCCTAGCAGTCAGTTCAGACCCTAGTGTCACAAACCCCACACACAGCTCTGTGCAAAGCAGGAATTTAATGTGCTGGAACTGGCTGGTAAAGCTGGGAAAATCATTTTCAGTAACAAATCCAGCAACGGGCACCTCTCTTGACTCTGCAGTATCATTTACAGTGGTCTCTATTTACACCTTTTTTGCATGTACTGAACATGATTTTTTTTGGTCTTGTCTCTGTCAATGTAGACACTGCTTTGAGCAAAGCTGTCCAGGTAAGGATTAATGGTCACACAAGTTTACATGCTTCTTCCCATGCTATTCCACTTGGTTGCCTAAAGTCTGACACAAGAAAGTCCTGTCTTTCTGCTGTTGCAGCACTCACCTAAGGGAGCATTTCAACAACCAAACCCAGAGAAATTCCCTAATTTTCCTAGGCGTGGAGATGATAACATACCACTGGCTTTCTCTCTCTCAGAGACTTCTCTAAGGGATTATCGTTTTCATATCTGAATCAAAACAGAAAAAGCAGGTCTTGCTCCAAATTTCATAGCACTGTAGGTAAAACTGAGTTTGCCCTCTAGCAATGAGCAGCTCAAGCTCCTCCTGTCAGTGGAAAAGGGAAGGAGATGAGCTGCCTTGGAAAGCTGGAATGGGGCAGCCTCAGAGAGTGGTCCTTGTTGCTCCTACCGTTGCTATGAGGCAGGGAAGATCTGTGCACGGGGCAGGTGTGTTGCGAAGCTCCTGACTGTGCAGTGGGACTGTGGCTCTCCTGGCTGCCCTAAGGAGCACAATATGCCAGGCAACTTCTCTGTGCCCCACACAGCTCTTGTGAGAAATAACCTTAGAGGTACTTGAAATAACATCGCTGTCATCTCTCCACTGACAAACTAACAGTGGAGAGATAACTCTTAACCTGGCTTAAGAAATGGGAAGACAGTTATTTAGATAAACTAGATAATAGTTCTTGCTAAAGAACTAGCAAACAAACTTTTCCTGGGGGCAAGCAGTCTTAACACCTTTGTAGGAACAATGCAAGTCTAGACAATCAAAATGTCCCTTTCATATTTTGTTGCTTCATCTCATTGCTGCTGTCATTTTTGTGGCTAAGGAGGGTAGCCCATTGAGCTGGGGTTTTCATTAATGCTGATTTTTTTTTTTTTTCTCTGTATGATTTCAGGTCTTATCAACATCCCTGCTGTGGCCTTTGGCATATTCTCTGGGGGACTGATCATGAAAAAATTCAGAATCAGTGTTTTAGGGGCTGCAAAACTCTCACTGGGATCATCTTTCTTTGGTTACCTTTTGCTCCTCTCGTTATTTGCGATGGGCTGTGAGAACTCGGATGTGGCCGGACTGACCGTGTCATACTATGGGTATGCTGGATTCAGCATGAAGTGCTGTTGCAAAGTGAACTCCTTCCTAATTTTATTCCACAAAGTATATATTGTTGAAAAGAGAATGACTGACCTAAATATGCTTCCCAGAAATTGGATTCAAAGCGGTGGAAACTGCTCCATTTATTCCAGTGGGCATTGTGTCAGAACCTTTTCATGATTGTTGCCTTCAGCCTGGAGGGGTTTGTGCCACAAGTGCAGATTATTTTTCTGATTACTGTTTAATTATTATTGCCATAGGACCCATCCTTTGAGCTCAGAGATTTCTGAAAATGTGAGGAGCTCAGCAGGGGGAGTGAGATTCAATTAATTGTTCTTTGCTTCTGGTGCTGCTGAACAACCGGTGGCATTTAATAGCCTCTGAATCCAAAACTTAAGGATTCATGGATTAACCCTGAGTTATCCATGATGTTAACCATGAGATACACCTGAGGTTAGTACTTTTTAATCACTCTTGCCCTCTCACTTTTTGGAAGGAGTTTCCAGCACCAAATCCACAGCAATGCCAGGAGCTGCTCCACTGGTGACTTCAGCAGCAGCTGGCTGAAGTTGGCAGATAGTTGTTGTGCAAGGTATCACACCTCCAGTTTGGATGAATCCCATGCTGATAATTTCTTTACTATATTCTACAGTGACTGTTTCCCACAAGTAGCTCACTCCCCTCTTTGCCATTGGAGTAACCAAACTTTTAAACTTTAAAATCGAGTCAAGCCTCAGACAACTAATATCTTAGAAAATCTGAGAAAATGTATGAATAGAAATTGTTAGCTGTCACCCTTAATAAAGTAGCTACTGTCTCATAGTAGGTGGTGTGATATAGTGAAAAACTTTGGATAACAGAGAAATAAGAATTTACACTGCTGCATGGATGTGAAGAGACATCTGAATGGACTACAGACAGAGCATCTGGCCAGCTGTGGCTGGCAGAGAGCATAACCCATGGTCTGATAATGACTTCTTCCACAGCTGCTAGAAAACATCACTGCAACTTCTCTGTTTCCCCAGAACTAAACAGATGACTGATTACGAGCAAGCCCTGTTTTCAGAGTGCAACTCTGGCTGTGCATGCTCCAAGAACGACTGGGACCCCATCTGTGGAGAAAATGGAGTTACTTACATTTCTGCTTGTCTCGCTGGCTGCCAGGCGTCCAATGGCAGTGGGAAGAACACTGTAAGAGAAACTTGCATTTCCTTATGTGATGTTGTAGTTTCCCTCATACAACTAATTCTGTCGAAGTGGATTAAAATTGAATAAGGCACATTCCCCCCAGCCCTAAACTGCCCACGTTTTTTTTAGCAATCTTCTATCCCACATTTAAAACTTTCTACGTTGTTTTTTTCCAACAGAAATCCCATGCAAAGAATTTAAATGGGGTGTTTTTTAGCCATTGGCTACCATAACTGTTTAAGAAACTCCACTAAATACATTCATCAACAGTAGAGACTTTCTTCATAAATTTGTCCTTCAATAAACAAGCCTTTTCCTTCTGAAAAATGTTTTGCAGTTTGGATTTAAACCCAGAAAAGCACGATGTGCAAACCTGAGCATGCACTTCTCTGCTCTTCAGGTTTCATGCACTTTTGCCTGCTGTCTTCCAGGTATTTTTTAACTGCAGCTGCGTGGGAACTTTGGAATCTCCTTCACGAAGCTCCTCAGCTGTCGTGGGACCATGTCAAAAAGGAAATGATTGCCCAAAAATGTTTCTATATTTTCTAGTAATATCGGTTATCACTTCATATACTTTGTCAGTAGGTGGCACACCTGGATACATACTGCTTCTCAGGTAAGAAATCATTCCTG